ACATATATCTAATAGTTTAGGAAAATTATGCCGGGAAAATTGTTAAATGCTATAAAGCAAGATATTTGAACCTTTTTTAATTCGCTTATTAAATATTGAGTCAAATTTGTCGAAGTACACCATTAGATCCTGCGCACAATGGAGAAAATATTAGAAATATAAATAGAAATAAATATTAAGATTTCAACGTTAATAAGAAACCGCTTACACCAGAATACGCGGTTTCTGATAGGTTGACATCTTAATACTTATTCCTATTCCTAATACTTCCTCCATTGTGCGCAAATGTATACACTTTAGGTGTATACAATTCAATGGTTAGCATAGTTTCTTTATCAAATATCGCCAGCACAACATTCAATGAAAGGTAAAGTTCTAAATTTTTATTTTTTTATTTTATTATTATTTAAAAAGTAATTTTATTATAATGATAATTTATTATAATATGATAAATGATGATTTATTATAATGATGATGAATATCACTTTACCTAAAATAAAAAAAACACGACATAATTTAAAGTAATTTTTATAATTTTTAAATATTTTTTTATTTCGTACCTCACTAGCTTTACTAATTTCTAAATTTTCTTCTTTATCTTTTTTTACCATTTCTAAAATTTTCTCGGAATACTTCGAGATCCTTTGCATCACACCGGTTGAAAAATCCTGCTCCAAAGTAATAACTGGAAAAGTAAATATAACTCGATTAATTATTTACTGTAGGGGATTATCTTCCAATGACCTTGACCTTGACATATGTTGTCAAGGTCGTGATTCCAACCTTGGACAAATTTTTTTTCGCTCGTTGTTCCTTAAAAAGTTATTAACAAAAAAAGTTCATCAATAAAACCTAACTTTTGGACACAACTGCGCTCCAATGAAACAAATTCGCTGCTTTAACAGCGCAAAATATTTTCTTATATGATATCTTATATAATTTTGATAACATATGTCAAGGTCAGGATCATTAGAGAGGATAGTAGATCTCCTATACTAAATAATTACCACAACTCGTTTGATATTAAAAATTTTAACAGAAATTTTATAATTTAATCTATTATATAATTTCATAGTAATTTCATTTAAACTATAGGATAAAGATATATAGATAGCTTGTGTAGAAAAATATATGTCTATTATCGAGAAAAGCTATAAGAATATTTTTTGTGTTAAAATGATAATCTGCGTGTGATAAAAGAATTTATTAGACTTGATTTTATATTTAGACTTGAAGATATTTTCTTCATAATAGTATAATGTCAATGGTACTACACACGATAGATATTTGAAAGAAACAACAAAGAAAGTTAGATTATAAATATCACAATTTGTTGATATTACAGAATATAAAATTACATTATTAACTACATTTAGCGATATCTATTGATTCTCCAACACACAATGGGCTTCCTTGTAGAGAAGAAGAGTGTGTACACGCAAATACACATTAGAATATGTACTATATGTACCTTATTAAACTTTTATCAAAACACAAATATAAATGTAAATTGAATAGTAAGAGCAACTATAAAAAATATTACACACATATATCAACATATGTACCATAAGATAGTTAATATGAATATATTTTTGTGGTAACTATTTCGTTCAGAAATTAAGACTAATTCAATCTTAATAATCATGGAAAATAGATACATATAAGTAAAAAAAAATTAAATATACTGCCGACTAAATCAATTTGCAGTAAAATTGTAAAAGTTATGTAAAACTATAAACGTTGATATTTTGTAAAAGAAAAAAAAATCTGTATAAAATTATATGTACCTATAGTAACTATGTAATATATATATATATATATACAT